ATTTTGGTCAAAAGTGTGCAACGGAGTGAAGGAGACATCTCCGACCCTATAAAGTATATATATTCTTGATCAGGATCACCTCCAGAGTTGATATAAGCATGTCCGTCTGTCCGTCTGTCCGTCTGTCCGTCTGTCTGTCCGTCTGTCCGTCTGTCCGTCTGTCCGTCTGTCTGTTTCTACGCAAACTAGTCTCTCAGTTTTAAAGATATGGAATTGAAACTTTGTACACACCCTTCTTTCCTTTGCACGCAGTATATAAGTCGGAACGGCCTGGATCGGCCAACTATATCCTATAGCTGCCATATAACTGATTGATCGGAAATGCCATAACTTTGGTGTTTGTTAAGTTAGGAAGTTGGGATTTTCTATGGGTTTTATTTTTGGCCAATCAATCTGACCTACCAAATTTCATAAGGATCGGCCGACTATATCCTATAGCTGCCATATAACTGAATGATCGCAAATTCCATTACTTTGGTGTTAGTAAAGTTAGGAAGTTGGGATTTTCTATGGGTTTTATTTTTGGCCAATCAATCTGACCTACCAAATTTCATAAGGATCGGCCGACTATATCCTATAGCTGCCATATAACTGAATGATCGCAAATTCCATAACTTTGGTGTTAGTAAAGTTAGGAAGTTGGGATTTTCTATGGGTTTTTTTTTTGGCCAATTAATCCGACCTACCAAATTTCATAAGGATCGGCCGACTATATCCTATAGCTGCCATATAACTGAATGATCGCAAATTCCCTAACTTTGGTGTTAGTAAAGTTAGGAAATTGGGATTTTCTATGGGTTTTATTTTCGGCCAACCGATGCGACTATATCCGATAGCTGGCATATAACTGATTGATCGGATATGCCATAGCTTTAGTGTTTCTTAAGTTAGAAAGATGGGACTGGCTATATCGTATAGCTGCTATATACCTGAACGTTTAGAAATGAGATAACGTTGGTGTGTTCTTCAATCTTAACTTTTAGAATTGTTATTGAGCACTGGTACATATAATAAAATTTTTACTTACTCATAGAATGTGGCTATCATAGCTATCATCATCAATAAATCAATAAAATCAATCAATAAAATTCCCTCGAATTTTTCTTTTGAGAAATAGATTTATTAAATATTATTTTCCATTTTGAATCTGTAGTCGATTTATTTTTATACCCTTGCAGAGGGTATTATAATTTTGGTCAAAAGTGTGCAACGGAGTGAAGGAGACATCTCCGACCCTATAAAGTATATATATTCTTGATCAGGATCACCTCCTGAGTTGATATAAGCATGTCCGTCTGTCCGTCTGTCCGTCTGTCTGTCCGTCTGTCCGTCTGTCTGTTTCTACGCAAACTAGTCTCTCAGTTTTAAAGATATGGAATTGAAACTTTGTACACACCCTTCTTTCCTTTGCACGCAGTATATAAGTCGGAACGGCCTGGATCGGCCAACTATATCCTATAGCTGCCATATAACTGATTGATCGGAAATGCCATATCTTTGGTGTTTGTAAAGTTAGGAAGTTGGGATTTTCTATGGGTTTTATTTTTGGCCAATCAATCTGACCTACCAAATTTCATAAGGATCGGCCGACTATATCCTATAGCTGCCATATAACTGAATGATCGCAAGTTCCATAACTTTGGTGTTAGTAAAGTTAGGAAGTTGGGATTTTCTATGGGTTTTATTTTTGGCCAATCAATCTGACCTACCAAATTTCATAAGGATCGGCCGACTATAACTGAATGATCGCAAGTTCCATAACTTTGGTGTTAGTAAAGTTAGGAAGTTGGGATTTTCTAAGGGTTTTTTTTTGGCCAATCAATCCGACCTACCAAATTTCATAAGGATCGGTCGACTATATCCTATAGCCGCTACATAACTGATTGATCGCAAATTCCATAACTTTGGTGTTAGTAAAGTTAGGAAATTGGGATTTTCTATGGGTTTTTTTTTTGGCCAATTAATCCGACCTACCAAATTTCATAAGGATCGGCCGACTATATCCTATAGCTGCCATATAACTGAATGATCGCAAATTCCCTAACTTTGGTGTTAGTAAAGTTAGGAAATTGGGATTTTCTATGGGTTTTATTTTCGGCCAACCGATGCGACTATATCCGATAGCTGGCATATAACTGATTGATCGGATATGCCATAGCTTTAGTGTTTCTTAAGTTAGAAAGATGGGACTGGCTATATCGTATAGCTGCTATATACCTGAACGTTTAGAAATGAGATAACGTTGGTGTGTTCTTCAATCTTAACTTTTAGAATTGTTATTGAGCACTGGTACATATAATAAAATTTTTACTTACTCATAGAATGTGGCTATCATAGCTATCATCATCAATAAATCAATAAAATCAATCAATAAAATTCCCTCGAATTTTTCTTTTGAGAAATAGATTTATTAAATATTATTTTCCATTTTGAATCTGTAGTCGATTTATTTTTTTTTATGAATTAGTTAAAACAAAGGATTGATGCTGGTTTCCGTGATATTTATTATGAATCCTCACATACTCAGCCCCCTCACCACGACAAGGTCTCAACCCACGAGAGGGAAATATTATAAAGCTTAATCTATATTGCACTTTATAAATAAAAAATTTATCACAATCTTTAAACAATAAATAATCTATTTCTATTTCACTTAAATATATACAATTCAAATAAATAAATAAGTTATTAAATTGATAAATAAATGAATAAAGAAATCTTAATATCTATATTTAAAAAAAATTCCATCATGATGACTATAGCTCGTTTTGTATGTAAGAGCAACAGCATTCCCCAGCTCACTTTCAGCAAAAATCCAATCAATTTGCGTCAAATGTTTCGTGGTTGCATAATTATTGATTGGAATTAGATTAAATTGATTTAAAGCTCCCTCAAGTCGATCAGTGGTTGTGGATCTGCAAATATTAAAATCTCCTAAAATAACCAATTTGCTATTATTTTCTAAGCTGCGTATCCTTTCTACGTCCGACATAACTTCATTACGAAATTGTGCTATAGGAAACGTTGGATTCCTATAAACAACAATGAAGGATGTATTAAGATATTTGAAGGCAATTGATTGGTATATAGTTCTTGAGCTCAAAGACTTATTTGTCTCAAACAAGAAAACTACATTTTCGGCAATATTTTGTTTGGCATAAATCATAATTCCATTTTTGCCAATACCATTCAATCGATTGCTATCAATTCTTCTTATTATGTCGAAACCTTGTGAAGAAAAGTCTTCGCTGGGAAGAGTCCAAGTTTCGACAAAACAAAGAAAATTTGAACAACAAATAATATGGTCGTTAAAAATATCTTCGCGATGGCTTCGAAGAGACTCAACGTTATGGTAATAAAGGGAGATGTCTTCGTTTCTGTTAACCACAAACTCATAATGCGTAGTCAAAAACTTTTCCTCTCTTAACTTTTTAAGTTCGTCTTGGACATTTTGAGCTCCAAATCTTGTTGGAGGAACAAAGTCGCCTAGAAGAAAAAGTCCTGATGCGCTAGTGGCTCTGCTGCATCCAACATACAACGAAGCTCGCTTGATGCCTCTTTTAAGATGCACGGCGACTTTGCTATATGTTGCTCCTTGGCTTTTGTGGATGGTAATAGCCTCAGCAGGAACAATTGGAAATTGTTTTCGGTCAACAGAAGCATGCTCCGATCTTCCACATTGAAAAACTCGAGAGGCTTTTACTATTGGAGTCCATTCGGGATCGGGACTATTCCGAACCTTTGATCTGGCGATAGTGCCAACCGTGGGTTCAAAAAATTTAATCCAAAGTCGCGTTACTAAATTTAAGCCATTCACTAAGCAATGGTCAATTAGCATCAGCTGACCAGTTGCTCCATTTACAAGTCCGTCACTTGTGTCTATATTGACGGTCACCATATATTTAGCAGTTGTTTTGAGATGAAGAACATATGGCAAACCCTGTGTTTCAGAGGTTTTCATATTTTGAGCATATCTTAACGTGTTTTCCCTGTTTCGTGTAGATATGTTCGCAGTTTTCACTGTATCAACAGCAGTGGAAACCAATTCTTCCGTCCCAATTTGCGCTAGTTTTAGGGAATTGTAATTATTAACTTCTTCGTTAGAAGAAAATAAATGAATGGCATCATCAGGAACTTCGCTGGGTGAAACCACTCTTTGTTTAAGGAGCTCTATATCTGCTATTGTCATGCAAGCCTCAGATAAATGATTTAGGGCTTGAGCAAATGCATGGTCGCCTCTTTGGCGCATTATTTCTGTGAGCTCAAAATACTTAAAGTTGTTCCATAAGCTATTTCCTGCTAAAACGCTATAAGGATTAATTGTCCTCTCCGAAAATATCCAACTGTCTCCAACTGGGGAAAGCTGCTTTAGATCTCCAAAAACTATAATTGATTTTCCACCAAAACTTAAGTCAGGGCTTCGGAATATTTGACGAAGCCGTTGATCCAAAAATGAAAGCATTTTAGAACCAACCATAGAAATTTCATCAATTATAATCAGTTGGAGATCAATCAACTTGCAATGAATTGTATTTAAACTATCATTGCTTAAAGGTCTTAAGGGACCTGAAGCCTGATTAATTGGAAGAGAAAACACTGAATGTAGAGTCAGTCCTCCAATTCCAAAAGCAGCTTTTCCAGTCGGAGCACATAATAAAACCTTTGCTGAATCCGTAGCACCAGGAAGCTTATTTGCTCGCCAAGTCACAGACTGATAGATGGTAGAAATCAGTCTGCTTTTTCCTACACCGGCCCCTCCACCAACATATTCGTAAAACATATTTTTACTAACAACATTATGCATCACATGTGCATAATATAGTCTTTGTTTGTAATTAAGGGACCGAGTTAGCGAGCAAAGGTCATCATTGGAAACTAACGGGGGAGTCTAATTAATTGAAGTTCGCCGTCTTCTTCAGGGTTGTTTATCGCATTGTCCTCCTGAAGAATATTTACGTTCCGCTCTATATTTGGTACAGCCAAAGCTCTAAACTCTTCGTCTAAAAATTGTGAGGCAGGTTCTTCCGCATCAGGAGCATTATCTCCCTATCCTCTTGCAAATCTTCCAGAACTCTTTCTAACTCCATATCATCAAACACATCATAGTTCCTTTTCATTATCTTAATGGCTTCATGGTTTACTCGGAATGTGTTTTCAATGTCGTTGGAAAGAAGTTCAGCTTCTTCATTTCGCCAAGGATAGAAGAGCATTAAATGCTCTCGGAAATAATCGCAAGGTGAAGAGTTTATGCTAAAGCGAACCCACCTTAGAATCAGGGGATGCCTACGTTTCTTAACGCAACCAGACCCATCCATCAGTGGATAACTTTGCTCAGCAACTTCATCTTCGTCATCTACCTCCACATCATTTGCTTCATCATAGTCTTCCCTATGATTAGCGGCAGATCGTGCAATCCGCTTGACAAATCTGTACCAAGCTGCGAAATCTGCTAAACAAATTCCTTCCAACTGCTCATGCCTTTGCACATATCGGTCAAGAATATTACGCTCAAAAATATCTAATTCTTCATTTGAGCGAGCCAATCGAACTCGTTTGTCTGGATGGCAAGTGTTTACAAAAATAGTACCTTCACTTGCCTCCGACATATGCAGACCCAAAATATTGTAAGCTGCTTCTTGGGCCGATATTTCTGTTGCGTTAATAAACTTATTCCCTAGGTGCTGTAATTTCCTTTTAATAGAAATATTCCCATGGCTTATTTCTGCCATGGCTTCACGGAGCAACTGCGATACGCCTCTGTTTGATTTGTTTATGTAGTTAATGATATAACTACAACAGGCGTACGCATCTAGGATAAATTGAATATCCATATTAGCTCTGTGCAAGCCTAGAATATCTCTATTATAAGCATTGAGCAGTCGGTCGGAGAATTGTCTGCGAAGAAAAATTTGTGGCTTTTTTAAGCTGGAACGTAAGGCTAGCTTGTAGGCTTCAAAATTAGTTTCAAGGTGGGACAGAAAATGATCAAAATTGTTAAATAAAGCTGCGTCTTCATTTGAAATGGTCCTTAAAGCTTCCTTAATTTTTTTAAACAAAGTTTTATGATCTTCAATATTGACTTCGTTTTCTTCTATTGGATGCAAAATAAGCGTTTCGGGCATAGGAGGATATGGCATATTGAATCGGCAGAACTCCTGTCCGCGTAACTCTCTTAGGCAAGAAGCACTATGCTTGTGGCGTTGATACTGAATTACTTCTTGTAGTTCAGTATCGTCTCCATTTGTAGTAATAAACCTATCAATAAAGTTTATTACTTGCTCGGTATTTTCGTTGTCTTCGAGCTTAGGAGCACCAGCAAGCCAGTACATGCCATGAGAATGTGGAGATCCTCTGTGCTGGAACTCGATTCTCCAATAAAAATGAGAAAGATTGAATTCCCCAAAAATATCGGTTTTGAACAATTTCATTAATTGTCGCAACCTGTAATCGAAGTATCGAGAGCACGTCACTGGATCGGATCGGATTAACCGAGCCTTTTCGGAGCTGGAAAGAGCTGCCGCTTCTTCCTCGCTTATAGCCCTATTATCCAATAGGAGAGACAGGATAACTAAAAGTTCATTCCACTTAGTTTCAGCAGCGGAAAGGGTTATAAAAAACGTTGGCAGCCCAAATTGTCGAATCATGGCTATAACTTTTTTTTTCTCAGCCTCCCAATGAGCTGGTGCAGACCGTAAGCCTTTCAGGATGTGGTAGCCATCATCATGTTGCACAAGACGGTCAACAAATGATACATCCCGCAGATTACCAGCGGTAACCGCTCCTGACTTTTTGCGTAAAGCAATTGAAATTGAATTTTGTATGCGCTGCATTTCGTAAAATTTATACATGTATAAAACTTTTGGAACTACAGCGCAACGACGGTCGTAAAAACGGATTTGGGATCTGGCTTTTTCGCATAGGTTGTATTTCCTTTAAATATTTCTCCGCAAGAAATAGTTGGAAAGGAAAGTTCCTCTGCGTCTTCGTCAAGCGTTAAGCTTGTTGGCCGACGGCCTTCACCCGGTGCCAATGCAATGCGCTGAATTGCAGTATCATTATTTTCCAATAATGTTTCATGGCCTCCGGGATTTAAATTTTCTTCGAGCTCTGAAGCATTTTGGGAGTGGTGCTGCTGGTGAAGAAGTTGCTCTACTGCTTCGCGATCAGATTCGTCCGCAATAAAAGGAATATCATTAATTCCTTGAAGTTCTGTTAGCCATGATTCGTTTAGTGAAATGTTGTGCTTTCTGTAGAGCTCGGTACTTACTAAGTACCGTACAGCTTCAAGGACCCGAGCGGGTCGAATAGTTTCAGTCATGAAATTGTGAGCGTACTCTAGTCTCCTTTTTAAATGGACTTGGATGACATGGGTAGAGTCGAAAGAGCGTGGAAGCGCAGTCACAATATCGGGAACTGAAATTGGAACATTCACCACTGCCCCTCTGATTCCACATTGCCTTTCATAGCCGAGGGAAATGATCCTCATAAAAGGGATTCTCGGTGAAATAAGGCGTTCTTCGAGGCAGGTGAGTCCATTTAAGCACTCAGGTATTTCTGGGAAATCGAACCCATTAGAAAGGCAGAGTGATGGGAGCTTACCAAGAGAAATGGCACGACGACAAGTGTGGCAAAAGTTATATTTGCCGGACGGACTGGGAAATTTTCTTGACAAATAAAAGGCGTTGCCAACGTTTAGGAGAGGAAATTTAGAGGAGATAGCCAGGATTGATAATCCACTTACCTGCGAACGGAACCATGTTCCTCCACAGCAAATACAAATAGCCGTTGGGCCTTCCTTAATGTTCCTGTGGTACAGATCCCTCGCTGATGATCGAATCCTATTTCGCTGTTGTCCTCGTTCCCGTGCCAGTTCATCCTCCGAAAGTTGAGCTCTTGCGTCCATGTTTCTTTGCGACTGCCTTTGGGAGGCATCCAGTCGATTTTGTGAGTCCATCCTAAAGTTTAATAATCGATCCTCTGCCATTTGCCGAATTTGTTCTTCCCGAATCCTCCGCTGTTGTCGTGTTTCCCGGCGTTGTGATGTGTTTATCCGTTGCTCCTGTGATCTAGCGATGGGATTTCTCCTGGTTGCTCTCCTGTTATCGGCGTCCCTTTCCCGTTCTCGCTGCCTGTCTTCCATATCCCTTCGTCGCTGTCGGTGCTCTCCAGTGTTCCTTTCCTGTTCCCTTGCACGTTCCTCTGGGTCCTCGCGATGAGCAGCTCGTGCTGCGGCGTCCCGAATCCGCTCTGAAATTCGAAATTCGGGATTGTTCCTCCGAGTGGCATGGTCAGCAGTATTTTGCACCTGCTCTTGTCGCCGCTCCTCGGTGTCTTCTCGCCGAATAGTACGCGCTGCGGCGTCCCGAACCCGTTCAGGATTTCGGTACTCCGGAATAGTCCTCCGATTAGAGTGCTCAGCAGTGTTTCGCAACTGCTCTCGTCGTCGCTCCTCGGGGTCCTCTCGACGGATCGCGTGTGCATCCATGTCCCGGATCCGTTCAGGAATTCGAAACTCCGGAAAAGTCCTCCGAGTAGAGTGCTCAGCAGTGTTTCGCAACTGCTCTCGTCTTCGCTCCTCGGGGTCCTCTCGACGGATCGAATGTGCATCCATGTCCCGAATCCGCGGAACGCATTTCTGGGTTAGTCCTCCGAGACGCATGCTCAGCAGTGTTTCGCAACTGCTCTTGTCTTCGCTCCTCAGAGTTCTGTCGACGATTCGAATGTCTTGCAGCATCCTCAATACGCTCCGCAGAACGCATTTCTGGGTTAGTCCTCCGAGACGCATGCTCAGCAGTGTTTCGCAACTGCTCTTGTCTTCGCTCCTCAGAGTTCTGTCGACGATTCGAATGTCTTGCAGCATCCTCAATACGCTCCGCAGAACGCATTTCTGGGTTAGTCCTCCGAGACGCATGCTCAGCAGTGTTTCGCAACTGCTCTTGTCTTCGCTCCTCAGAGTCCTCCCGGCGATTTGAATGCGCTTGTGCGTCCCGAATTCGTTCAAGGTTGCGAACCCTTTCACTTCTTCTCCGCTGCGCGCGGGCAGTGGAATCCTGAGCACGACTTTCCTCCCGAAAGTTAGGGTTATTGTCGCGAACATTGGCGATATGTTGAGAGTTTCGAGCTCTTATTTGGGACGCATTCCGTTCATAGCGGGCTCTACTGCGACTTAAAGCAGCTTGGCGACGTTGCTCCTGTGACAAATGTGATACACGTGGCATTTTTTATAGTGCTGTATGAAAAAATAAAAATTATGAAATGATATATATATAAAATCACCTGCATGGAATGCCATTTTATGAGAATTTGAAAGTTATTAGTAAAATGTACTTACCAAAGTTTGTGTTTCGAATAGCACGCTATTACATTTAATTTTTATCACTTGTAAAAAATAATTTGTATCACTTGTAAAAAATAATTTTTATCACTTGTAAAAAATAATTTGTATCACTTGTAAAAAATAATTTGTATCACTTGTAAAAAATATTTTTGCACTTGTAACAGACAGAGTAACGTCGTCACTCGATAAATTTTTTCATTGACTGATCTACGGAATATAGGATTTCTAAATATATAGCCAAGTTAGGTAATATCCCAAATTAAAAAGAATTATCCCTAGATCCTTTAAAGGTTCCCTAGTTTGACCCTTTTAAAAAAGGCAATAAAAAATCATGTTTTTGTATGTACCTGTGCTACCTGTTGTGCAATTTAAATGTTATGAATAATTTTGGTCCTAGAAAAGGTATTACCTGATATTGTACAGTTACAAAGCCACTCATACCTGCGTTACCGGTTGCGAAGTTCAGGATCTTTGTACAATTCCTGCCCCTTGCACGTGTTCATTGAACCAATTGAACGTTTGCCAAATTTGACCTGTTTACCAAGTTATAATGGGATAATCCCGTGGATTTCTTTAAATAAAATGTCTCTGTTATCTAAAAAGTAATGGGTTGTAAACTAAAGCATGTAAACCCAGTCGTAATTTGTATGACCGTTACTGCCCGTTACTGTCACTCCCTTGCATTATAAAAGTGGCTGAAAAAGGTAGATACGTTCAATTCAAATTTTGAAGAATATAATTTACAGAATATTCTGCAAGGGTATATCAACTTCGGCTCCGCCCGAAGTTAACTTTCCTTTCTTGTTTACTTTTTACTTTTCTCTTAAATTAATCAATAAAAACAATTTAAATGGGAATAATATTATAATAATATTGTTACGTTGCAAAAAAAATGTAAAATTCGGTATTTCAATTAAATTATACTTGCGAACCGCTTGCCGTCTCTCGTATTTTGTTGGTCATCTCTGATATTTGGCACTGCTTTTCAACTGCCTCTTCACTCGCGCCTTAATATCGTCTTCAATCGTCTTCAATCGCGCCTTCAACTCCAGTGGCATCACTTTGCCTCCTCGTCTCAATCACCTAATCTGGATCTCTGCTTCGTCGTGATCTTCTCCAGTTCTTCTCCTGGTCAAGTTGTCGCTTCAGCCATTATTGTCGCTCTCTGCGACAACGGATTGTATAAACGCCTTTCGTCGCCTTCCTTTCAGAATTGCCACAGAACCAATTTTGCCAATCTAGCAAACTGCGCAATAAATTTTGTAGCTTTGTAGTTTAAGAATTTCACAATATTTTGCAAAACTTGGTGGATTTGCGCAACATGAAAATTTTCAGCTCTTCTGGATGGGTTTTTAGTCTCTCTTTCTCATAATCACTATAATTTTATAACTTTTTAGTTTATCCGTTTAGTTTTGCTAATTAACTGCGATCGATGGATTTTTGGCACAAAAACTTGTTGGATGTTTGGCCGCCTATCACACTCAATTTTCACGTTTGTCAATTCTTCTCGGACGAGCCCCCAAAACTGTAGAGAAAGGCTTCCGTTGACTTTGTTAATTTATTAACTAATTATAAACGTTTTATTCTTTGTTGATTTCAGTTCTTTTATACAGTTTTATGTTTAAGTTTACACATTACTTAAACTGAGACACACGCGACCTTCCTCTGCTGATGCTCAATCTCTACTCCTTCTCGAGCTCTTTTTACGCTTTTTTAACACTAAAGAAAATGTTATGTAACAGAACAACTGATCTGTTATAAAATAGGGCTGCCAATCCTACATTTATATACATAACTTGTTCATATATTCCGCCGTTGTCTGAACTTCCTGATTATTTAAATCACCTATCCGTTATTAAGTCCGTTGCAAATAAGCTTTCCGATAGGGATCAGTTGATAGTTCTAGGTGATTTTAATATACCTGGAGTTACTTGGTCCACTGAGGATGGATCGAATGTCTTACTACCTATAGCACAGCATGATTTTATTGATGGCCTGCTTGACATATCTCTATCTCAAGTAAACCATGTTCGAAATTCATTAGGTCGCCTACTTGATTTGTGTTTTGTATCAAATCCTGAAGGTGTGTTTCTGTCCAGAGTAGCACCACTCACGCAACCTGAAGATCCATATCATCAAACAATCGAACTTTCATTTGATACGGCTAGAGTTATAGAAGAAAAATCAGAAAAATCCAAACGAATGCATTGTTTTCGCAAGGCAGACTTTCTGAGGCTAAATAATTTTATTTCTGGCTTTAATTGGTCTGATCTTTACTTATGCATTAATATGTCCGATGCAGTCAATGTTTTTTACACTGCAATAAACTCATTTTTTAATTCCTCTGTTCCGTGGTACTATCCGTCAACTTCCAATAAATCACCTTGGTTTCGCAAAGAGTTGACACACTTAAGAAATGTAAAGTCCAGACTTTTTAGGAAATATAAAAATACCGGTTCCCAATCTGTTTTTACTAGATATTTAAGTGCTCGGTCAAGATTTACCGTGCTTAGTGCTCAGTGTTATAATAGTTACTTAAACCGTTGTAAGGTCCAGTTCTCTCAGGACCCGAAACAGTTTTATAATTTTGTTAACACCAATCGTAAATCTAATTCTTTTCCTTCCTCGCTGTCGTTCGAAAACATGACGGCAACCACAGATCAGGCAATAGCCGATTTATTTGCCCAATTTTTTCAAACGACTTACTCTACTTTAGATTATTCATCACAGCCTTATTCTTACACCATGTCCAAGTCAAACCTAATATTCTGTCCCACTTTAACAGAAAGCTCTCTTCTTTTGGATCTTCTTCGTATTAAACCTGTTTATTCGCCAGGGCCCGATGGTATTCCTGGGTGCGTGCTTAGGTATTGCGCTAAGGCCCTGTGCAAACCTCTTCACAAGTTGTTTACCTTATCTCTAGAAACCTCCCAATTCCCAAATATTTGGAAGGAATCATTTGTTATTCCTCTTCTCAAAAAAGGTAACAAGTTAGAAGCCAGTAACTACAGAGGTATTTCTAAGTTGTCAGCTATTCCTAAGCTTTTTGAAAAAATTATTACTCCTCATTTGCAGCACCTTTGCAGATCAATCATTTCTCCGTGTCAACACGGATTTATAAAACGTAGATCCACAATCACAAACCTTCTAGAGCTCACTTCATTTGTGATAAAAGGCTTCAATAGTAGTTTTCAAACAAACACTTACTTCTCATTCAAAAACTTGACCTTTTAGGTTTTCCAGTTGATCTGCTTAAATGGATTTCAAGTTATCTAAATGGCAGGTCACAAAGGGTCCTTTTTAAAAATTCAATTTCTGAAATTCTCCGTGTTACCTCCGGTGTCCCACAAGGGAGCCATCTGGGTCCGTTACTTTTTACATTATTTATTAACGATCTTCCATCAATTATAAGTCATTCTCGCGTACTTATGTACGCAGATGATGTTAAGTTGTGCCTGCAGTATAAGGACATTTCCTGCCATTTAGACTTGCAATCCGATCTAGATAATTTTCAAAACTGGTGCCGAGATAATTTACTAAATTTAAACGGTTCCAAGTGCAAGCTGATGACTTTTTATCGGGCCAATCCGATATACGCGACTTACACGTTAAGTGGCAGCTCTTTGGATAGAATAACTCTTGTAAACGATCTTGGCGTTCTCTTGGACCCTAAACTAAAATTTTCTAATCACATTTCGTCCATGGTTAATAAAGCCAGAGGAGTGCTTGGATTTATTAAAATGTGGTCAAAAGAATTCGATGATCCTTATTTGACTAAAACGTTATTTATTTCGCTAGTCCGTCCGATTCTGGAGTATGGGTCTCCCGTCTGGAGTCCACAATACGGAATACATACATGGTCGTATTGAATCTGTACAAAAAAACTTCCTTTTTTTTGCTTTACGGCGCCTAAACTGGGATGCAAACCTTATCTTACCTTCTTATTCTAGTAGACTTCTTTTGATTAATTTACCATCCCTAGCCAACCGTAGAACGATGCTTGGTACTATCTTTATTTATAACCTTATACATGGTGATATTGACTGCCC